CAACAATGTCTCAGAGAGAGAGAGGATCTCCCCTATTTCTTTGAAAGCATCTCTCTGAATGCTTCCAAGAAGGCTTACAAAAGCCGTGTAAATCATCAGCCAATATGACAGTAAGAAAATCCATAATAAATTAAGCCCACAGGCACTTTGCTGTTTAAAACCAGATTTAAGCAGACAAAAAGATCCGTTCCCCAGACCCACACCCGATTTATCACTCAGCCCAGCAAGACAGCAACACTTGAAAGATGTATAGAGGGTTGCCACCCCACTCCCCAGGGAGGGGGGACCGTGTGCCTCCATAACAAGCAGCAGACATTAAAGAGATGGGGCTCTTACTTTTGTGGGGGGGTGAGGAAGCAGAGTGGTTTCGCCTGTCGAATTTATGCCTGCCAGGCTAAGGCCCAGAAGCTCTGTCAGTGTTTTGCTCCTCTGGACAGCCACTAGAAATGCCCCCCATACACACACACTGTTGGTGTCAAGCTGGCTGTGTTGCTGCGGCACCGATGGTGGGGCGGCAGAGAGGGCACCCATGGCAGAAGCAGCCAGATGGCAGGCAGAGGCACAAAGGCTCGAGGGGCGGGCCAGCCCTCCAGAGCAGCTGTGGGCGTGATGTCAAAGGGAGCTGCCGCAGCTCTGTCAGGAAAGCACAATGGCCCTCTCACCCTGGTGAGGGCAAGCGCCAAAGAGGCCTTCCCCAGCAGGGCACGCACCAGGCTCCGCAGCTATCATTATAGGCTCGGTTGCTATGGCAGCCCACGGAGTGACCCCCCCGCAAGGCCCGGGGTGTGTCAGCGGGATGCGGGAGGGCTGACTTGGCAAAGAGCAGGCCCCAAAAGACAGCCTCATGTGCCCCCTTGCCTGGTGCCCCCCCCCCCCCGCAAATGAAGGTGTCAGACACAAAGCAGAGCAATGCCTCAGATCGCTGGTTTCTGTGGGGAATCTGTATGCCCCCTCTCCAGCCCTGCCTGAGAGTGACTCGAAACTAAAACAGTGAAACACTTTCTAGCAAACAAGGGAATAAAACCGAGTCCGGAAGAACAAACCGTGCCGTTGCCATTGAAAACAAATCAATAAAACCAGCCAAGTCAATAAAATAAATAATTAAGACCAAGTCAATGAAAACGTGCAATTAAAAACTACAAATGCTCTCAAGCGGCCTCTAAGACTGTGGCGGCGAGACAGGCTTCCGTGTGGAAGGGATGCAAAAGGCTGGCCCCCTGAAAGCCAATTCTGAGGTGCCGCTTGAAGGAGCAAATTGTTGAATCTTTCATTTATTATGCTATTTCTCTCAAAAGGGAGGAGGCACTGTTCATATTTTCTGCCTCATGCAGCAAAGTGTGCGGGGCTGTCTCTGGGCCATCCCACATATAACACTGGAATTCCACATATAGAACTCCCGAGATGTGGCCTTTGGCCTTAAAATACAACGGTGGGGAGGAAGGATATGCTGTTGCCCTGGGATTCAGATTCACTCTTTGTCCAGGTTTTTAAAAATCCCCTTTCCTGCTGCTTTAAGCCCTGGTAGGGGCCATGATAGTATAACTTTAAATATGGCAGCAGAGTGTGGGTTCTGAATAGAAACAGTTCTGACCCAGGGCAGTTAGAACAACTGGAGAGACATATAACGAGAAGCCTCTATATAGGTAGATATTGTAATATTTTTATATAAATGAAACCTTGTTTAATTGAGTGTCTGTTGTGGTAATATAGTGGTGTAGTGGTTAAAGTGCTGGACTAAGATCTGGGAGACCCAGGTTCGAATCCACACTCTGCCATGGAAGCTCCCTGGGGGACCTCGGCCCAGTTGCTCTATCTCAGCCTAGTCCATCTCACATTTTTTCTGTCATAAGGATAAAATGGAGGAAAGGAGAATGGTGCTGTAAGCCACTGTTGGAGCCCCCAATAAGGAAGAAAAGTGGGATATAAATCTTATCATAAATATATTATAAAACTATGAAAGATGACACAATAGGAGGAGGGGGAACAGTAAGCACAAAGCAGGCCTCTGTCTGCTTACTCTGCTGGGCTGAAAAACAAACAGGGAGGGTATTTTTGATCAGATAAAATGTGTACAGTCTCACGCTCTTAGATTCAAACGGTCTGGGTCTCAAAATCGGCTGACCCTCCCTGGCCCGAGGGAGGCCAAGCTAGCTATCACCAGGGCCAGGGCCTTTTCAGTGGCGGCCCCTACCTGGTGGAACGAGTTCCCGGAGGAGATCAGGACCCTGCGGGACCTTTTGCAGTTCCGCAGGACCTGTAAGATGGAGCTCTTTCGCCAGGCATTTAATTAGGGGCTGCCGCTACTGCAGGCCGTTACTGCAGGCCGCTATTGCAGGCCGTTACTGCAGAGCTCTGGTCTGTTGTTTTAACATTTAACTGATTATGAGCAGAAACATTGTGGAACATCTGGGCAGTGGAAATTTACTCTGGCAATATACCATCTATATTAATTTAACAGCCACCAGCACATTGTGGTTAAATATTTGTGTAATTTTAATGTATTTATGCTTTTATGGAAGCCGCCCTGAGCCCGCTTGTGGGGAGGGTGGGGTATAAATTTGATAATAAATAAACAAATAAATAAATAAATAAAATACAAGTTTAGAGTTCTAAACTGCAGTGTCATCTGCCCTTGGGCCTGAATACAAACCATAGGAAAAGGTTTCAGAGTGAGCACAGGCCGCTCGTTGCAAGAAAGGGATAGTTTGGAAATTGAAAAACCTGCTGTGTTTGCCTGGTGCAAATGCAAAGACGTCCAGTCAGGTAGAGGCCCATTTCAAGACAGACATTTTTATAATTATGCCAAGCCCATCATGATGGCATCCAGCGGCCTACCAGGCAGGACAGTTGTTCTTAGCAGCACTTATAACTATTTGGGGGCATGCGATCCTGCTTTATGCCA